CTAATTTGATGCGAGTTAGCATTACCCGATAATGCTAACACTTTTCCCTTCCCTTTTAATAACGTGAGCAGAAAGTGCTTAGTAGGATTATTCTAGCAGCTAATGCTAATTTGATGTAAATTAGCATTATATTAGTGAGGAGTTAATGCTAAGTAGGCTGCCATTAGCAGCTAAAGGTAATTTGAGGTGAATAAGCACTAGTAGCTAATGCTAATAACCTTTTCTCTTGTGTTATATTGATGTGAGACATTAATGCTAAATAGGCTGCCATGAGTGACTCTTTTCCCTTGCATTATAACGAAGTGAAGGGTTTATGCTAAGTAGGCTCCCATTAACAGCTAAAGCTAATTTGAGGTGAATACGCACTAGTAGCTAATGCTAATACCCTTTTCTCTTGTGTTATAATGATGTGAGACGTTAATATTGTTCTCAAACTACAGAATGAAAATGAAATATTGATTCTAACAGGGTCCCATAAACAGTATTAGCTTAGCAGCATTAGCTTTCAGAGTTTCCATCATGGTCACACAAATCGTTAGCAGAGCAAAGTGGCCTACTTAGCAATAGCTGCTCAAGTTGTAGAAAGCAAAGGGAAAACAGTATTAGCATTAGCTGCTAAATGTGCACGAGAACAAATCTATTGTGAATTCAGCTGTGAGTATAGAGTTTGTCATTATTTAAGCTTCCATTTCCAAATGTTAGCTGCTCCTGTCTGCCTCTTTGTCACACACACACAGACTGAAATGATTCACAGCCTTGTTTCATCCTTCTGTCAGTGTCACTGACTGTCACTGTGACTGTGGACATACAGCATGGGAAACACACACATGGCTGACACTTTATTAGGTACACAGTGGCCACTATCTCAGATACACCTGTGAACTAATAAAGTGTATCTAAAGTTACAAAATGTTGTCTCTGTCCAAATATTTATGGACCTAACTGTAGGTCTACTTTTAATGAAACTCTCAACATGACTTATCAGTTATCATTAATGTCCCTGCAAACAGACTCCTTGGAGACCCCCTACATAAATATCCATACTATCCAGCTACACTAGTGTGTCTGTCCCTGAAAATATTCCTGCATGTGTGATTGTTCATGTCTCATCTGGAAATGTTTCCAGCTCTTCCTCCTCTATCAGACATTCTTCATACCTGAGAGTGTCAAGTCTCCAGCCTAGATCCTTCTGTCCAACCGACAGCAGCTTCATTCCTGAGTGACCTGGATGATTGTAGCTCAGGTCCAGCTCTCTCAGATGGGAGGGGTTGGAGGTCAGAGCTGAGGCCAGAGAAGTACAGCCTTCCTCTGTGATCAGACAGCCTGACAGACTGCAGACACACAAAACAACAATCCGTCTGTTATCCATCTCTATGGCAGCATAACTCAGGCATGGTTCAGGGTCACCTGATCCAGCTCAAACTATAAGTTTTATCAAAAAGGAAAGTTTGAAGCTGATCTTCAAAGTAGAGAGGGTGTCTGTCTCCTGACCTCAAACTGGGAGTTGCTTCCACACCCAGTCCAACATAGCCAGGCTTTCTTTGCTGCTTTGACAAAACCTCAAATCCCAGTCAGAGATGATGAGCATCATCACAGTGATGATCATTTCTCTGTTAACCCAGGCTTTCTGCTTCAGGATCTGTGCACGCTCACAGAACAAGGAGACCTTTAAACATCATTTCACTAAATGGATGGACTGAGCTCGGCCTACAGATGAACTGGATAATTATTTGACCTCAGTGTGCTCAGTGTTCCTGTCTATTCCTAACATATTCCTACCATGATAGCTGCACTTTAGAGCTCTAAAACTGGAACGGAAACATATTTAAACTCTACATGTTACTCAGTACATTCAGTTCTGACACTCGCCCACAGTCCAACAAAGGAAACATGGAGATCACACCAGTTTGACACAAAAGTCTAATTAGGGCAAGTTAACCAGTTATTGATTAACACCAACAATTATTTCATCACACACTAACACAGTTTTTAAAATCATGATTAATTTGAAAATGCGTGCTCACTGGCTCTGAATATAAAAATCCAAAAAGTAGGGCTGCCATGATTTGTCGAATATTAAAATCGTAGACGACTAATTAATTAGTTGACGTGTCGTTCGAAGCTTTGTAAGATCCTGAAAGACGCAGGAATAAGTAGTAGGATTCAAGAGTGTAATGACGGACTGAAACAGAAGATGGCAGCACTGCATGTACAAGGATGCCAGCTGTAGTTAAACCCCGAAGAAGAAGAAGCTGTGTCAGGTATGGGTGGTTTTTAATAATCGATTCATTGATTAAAATCGATTCTGGCTTGGATAACGTGATATCGATTCATTAAAATCCTGAATCGATTTTTTTATATAAATGTATTTTGCCCAAAATTCCAGAATCAGTGAGATGTGACTTTCTCACTCGACGGCACGGACACGGTCGGGGCTGAAAGCTGACAGCTCACTGATGCTGATGTTTCGGCGGGTCCGCGCTTTGTGTTTACACCCTTTTTGCGCCGATTCTAAAGCTGTTAGTTTGATCTCCCTCCAAACAATATTGACCGAACCAGCAACAAAAGAAGATCCAAACTACGCTTCACATAAACATCGTCATGGACTCACTCTGACTTTTGCTGTTTTTCATGCATCTCTCTCTCTCTCTCTCTCAACAACAGTTTCCCAATGTTTTCTGCATTATTCGCTTGCTTGTTACGCACAAGTTTTTTCCCTTTACTTCTGAAAAGAAAACCTAATTTCTGCCGTTCAATAGGAAAATCACCTTCATGTGTTTCTGTGTTTATCTTCAGCTATTTTGACACAAAGGCATCTGCTGTCATGTTCACACCTTTGATAAAGTCTGGCATGTGTCAGCTTCCTTTTTATAGATACAAAAATATGTAAATGTACTGATCTGAATTATAGTAATCTGACTATAAGTATCTGACTGAGGCAAAATTTCCCCGATTCAAATCCAATTGAATCAAATCATGGATCGAATCGATTCAGGACCTTGTGAATCAGAATCGAATCAGTTCTAGAAATCAGTGACGATACCCAGCCCTAGTGTCATTGTAGCTTGGACCAAATTGATGGGCTATATGAGGCCGTATGAAAAGGAAAAGAAAAAAACAAAAACGCTTGGACATAATGGACATAGAGCATAATGGACAGGTTTTTGACAGGGCGCTCACACAAATCCAAAGCAGGAGATGAAGCATCGCTGAATATGTTTCCAAACCAACCTTTTTTCAAGCTAAAGACTAGAAAATATGGTGAAGCAAATCTTCCCTTTGGCTTCACCTGCACAAGTGCCGAGGTAGGTCTCCCTGCAGAATTGGTTTTCACTGCGTTGGGAGCAGCGCTGGGCTGTTTAAATCACGGACAAACAGTATCCCACATTCTTGATTTTTAGTTCACAAACACTAATGACTAACTACTCCTGACATTTTGGAGGTGTTTGCTCTTTATACAGTAAAGTTACAGCGGGATACAAATAACATCAGGCTGATCCTGCCACGATTTGTTCCCCCGGTTCAAATCACAGACAAACAGGATCCCACAGCTGTTTATGTTTTTAAACCCATTTTGCACAGAGAGGCATTTTTTGAAAAATGTATTGATGCAATGTTGAATATCATTACACAGGAAAAAACAACTACAGTAAAATAATCACACCGTGACGCCTCTGACTTTCTAAATGGAGGGACAGTAACTGTTTAAGATGATTGTGTGTGTAATTTTGGCTTCATAAACATGTAAAAAAATCATTATGAAAAACCAATAATTAAGAGTCAAGTAATCTGCCCACAGGGAAATGAAAGGTCAGTTGGCAATTCTATAAAAGTAAGATCTTTATGCAATAACTAGCGGATTATAGGGACCATCTCCTTTTCAACTTAAGATGCAGACAAAGCAGAGTTGTTCATAGGAGTATGGGCCTTGAATCCACGGTCAGGGGATACAGAGCAGAGTTAATTTTAGGGAGATCAGCTTTTAAGTGAAAGGATAAGACAGGTCCATTTCACTATAGATGCCCTCCAGAGCAAGATTAGCGAGACTCTGCAGGAACTGAAAACACTTCTACCCTCTCCTATCTTAGAAGAGGTTTACAAGGTTGTGCACAAGGCTCAGGGGCCCAACACTCTGAAGGAAAAGAAAATTCCACACTTTGTTAACAAAAATCTTTACTTCCCAGTCAGAACCTACACAACTCAGAGAAAAACACACACCTGAAGACAGTCAGGAAAAATGGGTGAAGAACTTTTCAGACCAGAATCTCAATGAAACTGAAAAGGACTCAATTTTGCCATTTCTCCGCAACAGTTGCCCATAGTGGACCTCATCACAGCCACAGAATCCGCCATACGGATTAATAAATTACCACAGGCAGAAGCAGAGCAAATCAGGATGAAAGTCTCAGCCACCCTCTCCAGTGTCAAAGTCCCTCCGTCTAACTTCACAATACAAGAAAAAAAGGCCGTCGCTTCCCTGAGCAAAGACCACAACATCCCTATATTACCAGCTGATAAGGGAAGGTTCACCGTGGTCCTTAACACAACGGATTACCACAGAAAGCTCACTACTCTCCTCGGTGACAACAATACTTACGAAGCCTTAAAGCGAGACCCCACAAGCAGCTACAAAAAGAAAGTTATAGCTTGCCTTCAAGAACTTGAAAAGGACAAAATCATCGATCATCCTGCAACTTCGTCTATACCCAGGGGATGCCATAACCTGGATTTATGGACTTCCTAACATCTAAAATCCAGTTCTGAGATCCTCCCCAGACGCCTTAACGCCCACTCACATCCTGAGCCATCTGACCTCAGGAAATCACATGATAGGGTGGGTCCAGGTCTTACAATGAGCTGAAACCCTGGCTGATTGTGACCCACACCCATTTTCACACCTTGGCTCATGTGATTAGGTAGAGGATCATCAGGGGGTCCTTTGTCCCTCTTTG